ATCAGTGTTATGCTGGCTTCATAGAATGAATTTGGAAGTGTTGCTTCCTCTTCTATGCTCTGAAATAGCTTGAGTAGAACTGGTACAAGCTCTTCTGTTAATGTTTTGTAGAATTCTCCAGTGAAGCCATCTGGGCCAGGGCTTTTTTTGGTTGGGAGTTTACATACCTTAATTTAAAAATAGTTTATTGCTAAAAAAGGTTAACCAGCATCTAAGTCTTCACTAAGTTGTAATCTTTTTGCTGGTGGAGTCTTGCTTTGATGTTGATGGCTGCTGACTGATCAGGGTGGAGCTGCTGAAGGTTGGGGTGGTTGTCGCAATTTCTTAAAATAAGACAACAATGAAGTTTGCTGCAACAACTGACTCTTCCTTTCACGAAAGACTTCTCTGTAGCATGCGATCCTGTTTGACAGCACTTTACTCACAGAAGAATTTTTTCAAAATTGGAGTCAATCCTCTCAGACTCTGCTGCTACTTTATCAACTAAGTTTATGTAAATTCTAAATCCACTGTTGTCATTTCAACAATGTTCACAGCATCTTCACCAGGAGTAGATTCCATCTCAAGAAACTACTTTCTTTGCTTATCCATAAGAAGCAACTCCTCATCTGCTGAAGTTTGATGAGACTGAAGCAATTCAGTCACATCTTTAAGCTCCACTTCTAATTCTAGTTCTCTTGCTATTTCCACCACTTCCTCTACTGAAGTCTTGTACCCCTCAAAGTCATCCATGAGGGCTGGAATCAACTTCTTCCAGACTCCTGTTAATGTTGATATTTTGACCTCCTCCCATGTTCTTAATGGCACCTAGAATGGTGAATCCTTTAGAGAAGGTTTTCAATTTACTTTGCCCAGATCCATCAGAGGAATCAGTATCTATGGCAGATACAGCCTTACAAAATGTACTTCTTAAACAATAAGACTTTAAAGTCAAAGTTACTCCTTGAACCAGGGGCTGCAGAATGGGTGCTGTGTTAGCAGGCATGAGAACAACATTAATCTCCTTGTACATCTCCATCAGAGCTCTTGGGTGACCAGGTGCATTGTCAATGAGCAGAAATATTTTGAAAGGAGTATTTTTTTTCTGAGCAGTAGGTCTCAACAGTGAGCTTAAAATATTCAGTAAACCATGTTGCAAACAGATGTGCTGTCATCCAGGCTTTGTTGTTCCATTTATAGAGCACAGGCAGAGTATATTTAGCGTAATTCTTAAGGGTCCTAGGATTTTTGGAATGGTAAATGAGCACTGACTTCAATTTAAAGTCAACAGCTGCATTAGTCCCTAACAAGACAGTAAGCCTATCCTTTGAAGCCAGGCATTGACGTCCCCTCTCTAGCTATGAAAGTCCTAGATGACATCTTCTTCCAACATAAGGCTGTTTCACCTACATTGAAAATCTGTTGTTTAGCATAGCCACCTTCATCAATTATCTTAGCTAGATCATCTGGATAACTTGCTGCAACTTCTACGTTAGCACTTGTTGCTTCCCCTTGCACTTTTATGTTATGGAGACAGCTTCTTTCCCTAAACCTCATGAACCAACCTCTGCTAGCTTCAAACTTTTCTTCTGCAGTTTCCTCAACTCCCTCCGCCTTCACAGAACTGAAGAGAGTTAAGGCCTTGCTCTGGATTAGGCTTTGGCTTAAGGGAATGTTGTGGCTGGTTTGATCTTCTATCCAGATTACTGAAACTTTCTCCATATCAGCAATAAGGCTGTTTCACTTTCTTATCATTCATGTGTTCACTGCAGTAGCACTTTTTATTTCCTTCAAGAACTTTTCCTTTGTACTCACAACCTGACTAACTGTTTGGCACAAGAAGCCTAGCTTCCGGCCTATCTTGGCTTTCGACATGCCTTCCT